GTGTGTGGTGGGGATGGGGTTGGCGGGTGGGGAGGTGGGGGAGCAGGAGGGCTAAAATGCGTGGGTAATTAGTAGTTGGTTTGGAAAGCGCATGAGCATTAGTAGCAGCACCACCAATGAAAATTGAGTCCAGGTCGACTTATCCCCCAATACGGTCACACTTGCCTTGCTTGCCACCATCGCCACCTCACGCGCACCCAGCCTCGTCTCCTAAGGAAGCGGCTAAATAGGTCACCCTACACTACACGCATGGGGATTGCGGATAAGGATACTCACTCCTCCTTACAGCACTCCATATGCCGCCCCTACCTCACTCAATCCTTACCATCCCCCCCTATCCTCCCCAGCGCCCCACCGCCCTTCCCACCTTGCCACGAGGTGACTTCGAGTCGAGTTAAAAGTCACCCCATCCCCATTGCCCCACCGCCTTTCCTCATCCTTACTCTCAAACCCAGCCGCACCCTCCCGCCTTCCCCCATGCTCCCCATTTCCCCACCGCCTTTCCTCATTCTTACCCATCATCCTTACCTTCCACCCTCCCCATGCTCCTCCTTGCCCCACGGCCTTTCTCACCTTGCCACCATCGCCCCACACGCCCAGCCGCTCCTCCCCGGGGCACTGGTAGGTGGGCACCAGGATGCGAATGAGCATATCTGCACCGCCCGTTACATCTGACGGCTGGACATGGCCGACATTGAAGTCCTTGCGCCGTTGCACGTTCAGCTGTAACGGGGATATGAAAAGGTGCATTTCAGCTGGAATATGCATTTTCTAGTTAGGAGGTTTTAAGTCCAAGCCAGCAATACGTTATTTTTAGCTTCGCAAGTATACTACTTAGGTAGTTACTAACTCGCAGCCGAACACGTGACGTGCCTGGCGGGCTAGGAGGGACAATGTTTCGTTGTCAACTCGCTACTTAAAACGTTTGTGATGCGAACATGAGATCGTGACACCTCGAACCACCTTATCAAGCCACCCAGAAACGCGATGAACGAACATGGAACCTCTCTGCACCACACAAAGCGACCTCAAACGTCGCCAAAGCGCCGTACGTCGATCGTATGTACCTGAGCATGTCCAGTACGTACCCAGTAGTTTTCTTCCGCACGGCATTGCGCAGCGCTTATCTTACACCCAGCAAGGCCACCGCCTTCAGGGTTGCAGCGCGGCGTCGATTCGCGGTTCGACCTGGGCGACTCGCCATGGCTGAAAGAAGAGAACAAACGGTAGCTCGATCGCGAGAATTACGGCGGCGGCTACAAGATACGGTCTCGCCGCGAGCAGAAACGACGCGAAACTGCCGCCGCCACTCACGCCGCCGCCGCCGGATTTCCCAATGTCGAGGACGAAAAAGGAGCTGCTAGATGACATGATTGTATGGAGGACGAACCATAAGCTTCTAAAGAAGTCAACTATTCCTAGTCGACACTATTATGACTAGGGTGGGATGTTTGTGAGGGAACGCTTGTGACACCCAAAGGGTGCGACGACACACATTCCTCGCCGTGGCTGTTCAGCGTTCTGTACTGCCGAATAAGGGCGTGTAAAATCGCCGAACACAGAAATTCGGCCATCAGAAGTCGGGTCGTTTTGGCGAGAGTACCCATCTGAAACCCTAAGTACCAACCTGTCTCAAACCCGAACCCCTAAGTACCCTAATGGCCGAAAATTCGGCCATTAGCAATTTTTGCATGTATGCGCCGATTTTACACGCCCTAAGTCCTGCGTTACTGCTGCATGGATTGTAGGACGAGTTTTCCAAAAAGGCGATGAGCCACTGACGCCACCACAGCGAGCAGCGGTTTTCCCTTCCAGTTCACGAAATGACCAAGCCTGTTCGCGAACGCCACCGTCGTTGCGTACTCGCGAACTTCGACAAAACTGCAAGTCGGCCAAATGTCGGAAAAATGATGTCGTCAACTTTAGCTGCGAACCTGCAAACCTTACCCGGAAACTGGTCGACGATTTTGTGGACGTGTGCGACATGTTTGCGAAGGAATTTTGTAACAGAGAAACGCGGACAAAAGGCCCTGGCTTTCCAGAAGTTCCACGACCTACCCTAGCGCCACTCCACTTCTGCTCGGCTTCTTCACCTCCCGTTGTAGTCACAGCAGCTGTTGCGCACTGAGACAATCAACAGAGCCAAAGCGCGCCAGATCTGTCAACAGTACGTCTCGTTGCAACGCTTTAAGCGTCGACGACTCTCGGTGGAGAATCTGTTGTTCGCCGATCATGGCGCTGGGCGAGGCGACGCGCGTGGCGATGCAGGTGTTCAAGGCGACGGGCGGGCTGGTGTGGAAGCGACACCCCATGAACCACACGCGCCGCGCAAACGCCAAGACGCGCCACGCGCGCATTCGACAGGTGCGATAACGCCTGTTTTCAGGTAGAGCAACTCTCGGAAGCACGATAGGAGAGCCGATGAGGGGACGAGCCGACGAGCGGACGAGCGGACGAGCGGATGAGCGGATGAGGGGACGAGCGGACGAGCGGACGAGCGGAGGAGCGGATGAGCGCACGAGCGGAGGAGCGCCCGAGCGGAGGAGCGGAGGAGCGGATGAGCGGAGGAGCACACGAGCGGGATGAGGTGCGCATGCAGCGTGGCAGCATGCCTCGGCGCACTGCTCCACGTTTCCCCGCGTGGATGTGCCTTGCCGCCCATGACATCCCCGGCAGCTCTGAGAAGCCCCTTGCTTCCTCTCTTGCTGCGTCCCCATTCCACGCCCCCCCCCCCCTCCCAACCAATGAACGCGTTTCTTTCGCATCTATTCCCCATGACTTTCCACGAGTCAGCAGTCTCTGACCGTTGAGAGCATTGCGTGGCGCTGATAACATGCTGTCTGGCTCACCCAATTGGGCTCCTCACGCCCTGTCATGGTGGCTAGGCAGCAAGAGGCTGTTGTGAAGCAGAGGTTGAGCACTGCCACTTGGCAGATTGAGCCCACGTGGCAGGTTGAGCCCACGTGGCACTTTGAGCCCACTCACGTGTTCATAGCATGCGCAGCCCGATGCTGCTCCTCTCAACGCTGCTCACTCTTCACTCTCTTCCCCCCTCCCCTTCGGTGCCCCCCTGTCCCCCCTTGTTCCGATCTCCCTCTCGCAGGCAGAGCAAGTGCTGCGGGTGTTTGCTGTGCTGCTCTGCCCGCGCATGTTGCTACTCCTGCCCACTTTCTGGCCCCCTCCCTCCCGTTTTTGCCTCCTCCCTGCCGCCCCTTCCCCACCTCCGTCCCCACACCTCTGCGATGTGAAAGCAGGCAGAGGAGGTGCTGAGAGTGTGTGCAGCTGCGCCACCACATGCTGCTGAATTGTCCCATATTGTGACCCCCTCCCTCCTCCTGCCTCCTCTTCCCCCCACCCACCACACCCCCCCTCTCCCTTTCTCCTCTCCACCATGCGGAAACAGGCAGAGGAGGTGCTGCAAGTGTGCGCCGCTGTACCACAGCAGGCTGCTGATCCCCCTCCCTCCGCCCTTTCCCCCCACGTCCACCACGAATTGCCAGGCAGAGGAGGTGCTGAGAGTGTGCGCTGCTGCACCGCCTCATGCTGCTGCTGACTCCGCCCACTCCCCTCCACCCCACGAGGCTGCATCGGGCCAGCAAGCACATGGCACAGCACAGCAGTGACCCGCGCAGCCGGCAGCAGGAGCATCATGGGCAAGCAGGAGCACAGCGTGTGTGGCGGTGAAGGGATTGACGGCAGCATGGTAGCAGCACACAGTGCGGTGCCGCAATACAGTGGCTGGCAGCAAGGGCTGTGTGCACTGGGTGGTTGGAGGAGGGGATCGCCACGCACGCACTGGTGGGTGGGTACAGACAGCGCATGGCGGCACCACTGTGTGCTTGTCTTGTGCACTGGAGGGTCATGCTTCAACACAAGGGCACTGGACGGGTGGCCTGTGCTCCGGCACAGGAGTTTTGGGAGTCAGGTCGGTCTCAGCAGGGGTGAAGATGCGGTTCCTTTCCTTCTCACTGCTGTCAGATTTGGCACAGCACAGCACGTGGTCTCACATGACATCAGCACAGAATAACAACCATAAGCACTGGAGCAATAGCAGCTGCAACAGCATCAATGGCTGCCTGCTAACCAGAGCAGACGGCTACCGTTTGAATCCCTGCTTGCAGAGAAAATGCATATCTTATTAGAGTGTGTCAATTTGCCTTTCTAGCAAGGTATATGTATTGTTTGCTTTACACGAATGGTCATTGTTTGTCAGTGCATTACCATGCGTTGAATATGCACTTAGGTATGCGAATAGGTGAACAGATGAGAGCAAGCCCTAGTAGCATGGCATGGTTGCCCTGGCTGCACCAGCAAGGCTAGCCCTAGTCCAAGACAGGCAGGCACCCAGTCCAAAACAGTCCGTGCGGTGTGGTGTAGTGCGCTGTGGTGTGGTCTGGTTCCTCTGACAATCCCACTCACGTGCATTGCCTCGTACCGTATCGCCCCGGATAAAAGCGCAGGCCTATGATAAGCGCATGCGCTTCTATCTGGAGCAATGCGCTTATGGCCGATCCTCAATTATAAGCGCACCCCCTGTAAAACCCTGACTTATTATAAGCGCATGTATAATATTAAAATTTGAATTTGCTTGAAACGGTAACGAAATTCCAATTTGCAGCGAGGTCACACCAATTTCGGTTCGATTGACTCGCGAGGACCTTACATTCTGCGCGTCCAGTCATTATGAGCTGGAATTCCGGCGCAATGACGTGTAACTGCCCCTGTGTGCCCGCAGAAATTCGCCCGCGTGCGACTCTGAATTGTGACCCCCTATCATTGCGCTTCGATTAAAATTGCAATAAGGGGATGTACAATCTGGTGCAGTAAGAATATAAATTTGTATTAGTCATTATATAAGCGCATGCGCTTATATTTTTTACTCAATTATAAGCGCACCCCCCTAAAAAACACTGATTTATTATAAGCGCACCTGCGCTTTAATCCGGGGTAATGCGGTACGTCAAAATCGAAGTTCCTGACAAGCGTCAAACCAACTCAAATCATGCAACAGTGGCAGCAGCAGCACCAGCCGCCTCGGCAGCCTTGGCAGCATCGGTAGCAGCAGCTTCGGCCAGACCAGCCTTGGCCATGGCGAGGGCACCCTCGTACGTGTGGTTACCACCAATGAAGCCACTCATGTGCACAAACACGCCCCTGGGAATGCCCGACCGCTCCGACAGCTCGTCGTCTCGCAGCCCCCTCCAGTCCACAGGCAGTGGGCAGCGGCTCTCAAAGCTGCCTGGAGCGACTGAAATGGCCTGCACGCGCCACTGCTTGGCCCGGTCGTCCTGTGGGGGTGAGTGAGGCAGTTGCAGGGACGCAAGTGACGGGAGTGAGGGAGTGAGAACGAAACATGTCCGCATCCCCTCCAGTCTGTGACCAGGCAGCGACTCCCAAAGCTGCCCGGCGCCACTGAAATGGCCTGCACGAGCCACTGCTTGGCGCGGTCGTCCTGCGGGGGTGAGGCCAGGCGCACATGGTAAGGGGTGAAGGAAAGCAATTGGGGGAGTGCGGAAATGAGATGAGTGCGGAGAGTGAAGGCGTGAGGGATACACTCCTGCATCTCCTTCTGGACTGCCATAAGAAGGCAGCGGCTCTCAAAGCTGCCTGGCGTTTAAATGGCCTGCACACGCCACTGCTTGGCCCGGTCGTCCTGTGGGTGTGAGGTTAGGGGCGGCGTGGGTGTGAAGATGGAGTGAGGGGGGTGAGAGAATTAGGGAGTAAACGGAAGTGATTTTTTTTTTTTTTTTTTGCATCTTCCACTAGCAGGCAGGATAGAGTGGCCCTTGCTGCCACCAATCACATTCACGTTCTCCCTGTGAGAGGAAGAAACAGAGGGGGTGTGAGTGAAGGGCGCTGGTGCTGCAGTCCCTGCATGCAGATGCTGCCTTTTGGGCTGACTGTGAGATGAGACGATTTTGAGGCACCTCAGTGGTTCACCACGGGCTGGTACTGCTGCAGGCAGGGACGGGGATGGGAGGGGGCACATGGGCACACGAGGATGGTTGTGGCAGTGCCACCTGCTGAACTGCACCTGCAGCTGCCCATGCGCAGTCAGGAAGCAGTTGAATGAGAAGGGCGAGGACGGCAGGGCAAGGGGGGAAGGGCGAGGACGGCAGGGCAAGGAGGGGAGGGCGAGGACGGCAGGGCAAGGAGGGGAGGGCAAGGACGGCAGGACAAGGAGGGGAGGGCGAGGACGGCAGGACAAGGAGGGGAGGGCGAGGACGGCAGGACAAGGAGGGAGGGCGAGGACGGCACAGCAGGGCAAGGAGGGGAGGGCGAATAGGGCAGGGTGAGGAGGGCAAGGCGAGAAGGGAAAGGAGCAGGGCATGTACCTCATACAGCATGTACCTCATACAGCATGTACCTCATACAGCATGTACCTCATACAGCATGTACCTCATACAGCATGTACCTCATACAGCATGTACCTCATACAGCATGTACCTCATACAGCATGTACCTCATACAGCATGTACCTCATACAGCATGTACCTCATACAGCATGTACCTCATACAGCATGTACCTCATACAGCATGTACCTCATACAGCATGTACCTCATACAGCATGTACCTCATACAGCATGTACCTCATACAGCATGTACCTCATACAGCATGTACCTCATACAGCATGTACCTCATACAGCATGTACCTCATACAGCATGTACCTCATACAGCATGTACCTCATACAGCATGTACCTCATACAGCATGTACCTCATACAGCATGTACCTCATACAGCATGTACCTCATACAGCATGTACCTCATACAGCATGTACCTCATACAGCATGTACCTCATACAGCATGTACCTCATACAGCATGTACCTCATACAGCATGTACCTCATACAGCATGTACCTCATACAGCATGTACCTCATACAGCATGTACCTCATACAGCATGTACCTCATACAGCATGTACCTCATACAGCATGTACCTCATACAGCATGTACCTCATACAGCATGTACCTCATACAGCATGTACCTCATACAGCATGTACCTCATACAGCATGTACCTCATACAGCATGTACCTCATACAGCATGTACCTCATACAGCATGTACCTCATACAGCATGTACCTCATACAGCATGTACCTCATACAGCATGTACCTCATACAGCATGTACCTCATACAGCATGTACCTCATACAGCATGTACCTCATACAGCATGTACCTCATACAGCATGTACCTCATACAGCATGTACCTCATACAGCATGTACCTCATACAGCATGTACCTCATACAGCATGTACCTCATACAGCATGTACCTCATACAGCATGTACCTCATACAGCATGTACCTCATACAGCATGTACCTCATACAGCATGTACCTCATACAGCATGTACCTCATACAGCATGTACCTCATACAGCATGTACCTCATACAGCATGTACCTCATACAGCATGTACCTCATACAGCATGTACCTCATACAGCATGTACCTCATACAGCATGTACCTCATACAGCATGTACCTCATACAGCATGTACCTCATACAGCATGTACCTCATACAGCATGTACCTCATACAGCATGTACCTCATACAGCATGTACCTCATACAGCATGTACCTCATACAGCATGTACCTCATACAGCATGTACCTCATACAGCATGTACCTCATACAGCATGTACCTCATACAGCATGTACCTCATACAGCATGTACCTCATACAGCATGTACCTCATACAGCATGTACCTCATACAGCATGTACCTCATACAGCATGTACCTCATACAGCATGTACCTCATACAGCATGTACCTCATACAGCATGTACCTCATACAGCATGTACCTCATACAGCATGTACCTCATACAGCATGTACCTCATACAGCATGTACCTCATACAGCATGTACCTCATACAGCATGTACCTCATACAGCATGTACCTCATACAGCATGTACCTCATACAGCATGTACCTCATACAGCATGTACCTCATACAGCATGTACCTCATACAGCATGTACCTCATACAGCATGTACCTCATACAGCATGTACCTCATACAGCATGTACCTCATACAGCATGTACCTCATACAGCATGTACCTCATACAGCATGTACCTCATACAGCATGTACCTCATACAGCATGTACCTCATACAGCATGTACCTCATACAGCATGTACCTCATACAGCATGTACCTCATACAGCATGTACCTCATACAGCATGTACCTCATACAGCATGTACCTCATACAGCATGTATTTGGGCAGTGGGTTGAGCTTCAACTCCCCTTCCAGCTCACTCAGATGGCCCTTCCACTGCAGAGGCACAGAGATGACACGCACACAGAGATGACACGCATACAGAGTTGACACACACACACGGATGACACGCACACAGAGACGACACTCACAGGGAGACGGGCATACACATTGAGACGACATATAGAAACGTGGAATGGCGCAGGAGACGGCTAACATACTCAAGCTAGCACTAGCTAGCGGCATAGCATACCTAATAGCAGATGCAGCAACCAGCAACGGTAGGAGAAACAGAAGCACCCTGGGATTTGAAACAGAAATGAATCAGAGGAGGGTCGCCTCTTGACCCACACATGATCTGAGACCCAAGCAGTGGCATGCACAAAGGGAAGGTGCAGAGAGAGGCACGAGGTGCGGGCTGCAAGGTGTGGCAGCACAGCGGTGTGTGTGTTTAAGCGGACTGTGAGAGGTATCGTGGTTTGCAAGGCATGTGCTGCACTATGTATGCCCCTCCCTTATCATGCTTCCTCCCAGGGAGGCCTGCGCCGTACGCTCCCCCCTCCTTCCCCCCCTCCCCACCCGTCATGATCGCGCAGCAGGCGGCACGGGAGGCGTGGATCTCACCGGGCAGAACTTCTTGAGTGTGAGGATCCCAGTGCTGCCGTGCTGTGCCACAGCAGCAGTTATGCTGCACGCCTGCCTGACCTGACCCACCGGGCACCACAGTGCTCTCACCGGGCAGAACTGCTTGAGTGTGAAGACCCCAGTGCTGCCGTGCTGTGTCATCGCACCAGTCATGCTGCACACCTGCCTGACCTGACCCACCGCGCAGCACCTCTACTCACCGGGCAGAACTGCTTGAGAGTGATGATCTCAGCAGTGCCGTGCGCTGCCACAGCAGCCGCAATGCTGCACGCCATGTAACCACCTGTGCTCACATGGAAGGCACACCTGTCCGACTCACCGGGCAGAACTGCTTGAGAGTGATGATCTCCGCGTTGCCATGCTCCGCCACGGCAGCAGCAATGCTCTCCTCCACGATGCTGCGCGGCATGTACTCACCTGCAAGGCACACCTGTCCGACTCACCGGGCAGAACTGCTTGAGAGTGATGATCTCAGCACTGCCATGCGCTGCCATGTGCTCCCACCGCGCAGCACCTTGACTCACCGGGCAGAACTGCTTGAGTGTGATGATCTCAACACTGCCGTGCTCCGCCACGGCAGAAGCAATGCTCTCCTCCACGATGCTGCGCGCCGGCAGCCAGCTGCGCGCCGTGTACGTCACCGCCTGGAGGAGGGAGGGGGGAGGGTGCGCATGGGGGCGAGGGTGCGCATGGGGGCGAGGGTGCGCATGGTGGGTGGCGGCAGTTTGAGACGTCCCAAAGCCGGCAGCCAGCTGCGCTCCGTGTAGGTCACCACCTGGCAGGGGGGTGGCGCAGGGAGGGGGGGTGGGGATTGGGTTTGCAGTTTTGAGGTTTATCAAAGCTGCCAGCCAGCTGCGCTCCGTGTAGGTCACCGCCTGGCAGGGGGGTGGCGCAGGGAGGGGGGGTGGGGATTGGGTTTGCAGTTTTGAGGTTTATCAAAGCTGCCAGCCAGCTGCGCTCCGTGTAGGTCACCGCCTGGCAGGGGGGTGGCGCAGGGAGGGGGGGTGGGGATTGGGTTTGCAGTTTTGAGGTTTATCAAAGCTGCCAGCCAGCTGTGCTCCGTGTAGGTCACCGCCTGGCAGGGGGGTGGCGCAGGGAGACAGACACAGGTGCATTGAGGCGCCTCCAGAATCACAGCCTGGGGGCGAGTGTAGGGGTGTTGCAGGCCATAGGGTGGGCTGTAATCGCAGAGAGCATGGTAGAGGCTGGTCCACGGAGAGGGAACAGCAGCGAGGGGGAACAGGGGAAGGAACGGCAGCAGATCTCTCAGAGGTTGAAACGACTCACTTCCCGTACCCCTCCCCACTCCCAACCTACCCCTCCACTGCCTCCCACCCACCTTCCTCCACCGCATCTCACCTCCACGAACTCCTCCCCAGCGAGCGCCATGGCCTTCTGGAAGGCAGCATCCTGGGCGGCGGGGGAGGCATCGTCCAGCCAGTCGGGGTTGAAGCGCCCCACTCCCTGTACCCGTCCCCCCTTCCTACCTACCCCTCGACTGCCCCCCACCCACCTTCCTCCACCGCATCCCACCTCCATGAACTCCTCCCCAGCGAGCGCCATGGCCTTCTGGAAAGCAGCGTCCTGAGCGGCGGGGGAGGCGTCATCCAGCCAGTCGGGGTTGAAGCGCCCCACACGCGCCGACAGGTGCGTGTTGTTCACGTAGCGCGGGGGGTACTCCGACTCAAACTGGTTCACCCCGTTGTCTATGGCGTCTAGTGCCTGGTGGGGCAGGGCGAGGGGCGACAGGCGGGAAGATGGAGGCGAGATAAGAGAGCGGAGAGAGATGAGAGGAGATAAGAGAGGAGAGGTACTGGAGAGGAGAGGGTAGAGAGGAGCATCGTTTAAGGGGACTCAAGGCGTGCAAGGTGGAGTGTGGTGAGGAGTCGAAAAGAGGTGGCGGAGAAGGGTGAGAGGAGCACGAGGGGCAGGGGCGCACATGAAGTGAGTTGCGATGAGATGAAGTGAGATGAAATGGTATGTGATGGGCTGGGATGGAACGAGGCGAAACAAGACGCACTGTGCCCCAGCCACCACACGCATCCACCTCACACAAAACGCGTGCTCTGCAGCAAGGCGTATCCACCTGTCCTCGTTACAGGCAGCCTCGCATCATGATCACTGACCTCCATGAAGGAGCGGTAGATAGCGAGGTACACCTTGTGCACGTCCGCATGGGTCTGTGGCAGCCCCATCAGCCCCGCCACCACCTCCTGCCCGTAGTGCTGCTCGAACCGCACAAGAAGGGGAGGGGGTAGGGACCAGTGGGGAGGGACAGGGAGGGGCAGGAACGGGTTGGGAGGGACAGGGGAGAGGGGAGAGGGGAGAGGGTAGAGCGGATAGAGAAAGGACCTTGTGCACGTCCGCATGGGTCTGTGACAGCCCCATGAGCCCCGCCACCACCTCCTGCCCGTAGCGCTGTGCGCGCCATCGCCACATGGTAGCAGCGGGGTAGGAACGGGCGGGGAGGGAGAGGGAGAGGCAGGAAGGGGTGGGCGGCGAGAGCGGATCGAGCACGGTTCATCCGCCTCGCTCTCTCGCTGCCCCATCAGCTCCGCCACCACCTCCTCGCCGTAGTGCTGCCCACGCCATCGCCACATGGAAGGGAGGGGGTAGGGCAGGGCATGGGAGGGGCAGGGAGGGGCGCAAGGATGGGTGGGACAGGCGGGAGGGACAGAGGGAGAAGGGGAGAGGGAGGAGGGAGAGCGAGGGCGTGAGGATGGATGGTGGAGGGTATATTTAAGAATTCTAACAAATACCCTGCAACGTGAAGGATGGTAGTGATGCGCCACCTCTCCACGCCACGCTTCTCTGTGTGGCGCTGCTTGCCATGCGAGCGAGCAGGCGGGGAGAGTGGTGGAGCCGCAAGCAATTCCCTGCCATCCTTCCGCCCACAACACCCTGCACGCTGCACCCCCCTCCCTTGCCCCTTGTGCTGCCCTCCCCACCTTGTACACGAGTCCAGCGCTGCTGAGCTTGGTGCAGAAGCCATGGCCGAACACCTCTGAGAAGCCGCGCTGGTGGTGGTCGTAGCGGTCGGTGACCGGGTCGTAGACTCCCCCCACGTCGATCACCGCGTCCAGCTCCGCCAGCACCTACCATGGGGGAAAGGGGAGGGAGGAAAGGGTAAAAGGGGGAAGGGGAGAAAAGGGGGAGAGGGGGGGAGGGGCAACGTTGGTGGTGGTCGTAGCGGTCAGTGGGCGGGTCGTAGACACCCCCCAAGTCCATCACTGCGCCCAGCTTCGCTAGTACCTGTAACCCCCCAACCATGGAGGTGAATGGGGAGGGGAGGAGATGAGGGAAGGAGGAGGGGGGTGCGTGAGGGGAGGGGGTAACGTTGGAGGTGGAGGCGGTGCGGTGCAATTGCAAGGTCGTTCTCCCCGGCCACGCCCATCCCCGCGCACTGGGGGGAACTGGGAGGGGAGGGGGAGGGGGAAAGCGAGGGGGAAGGGGAAAACTGTGATGTTTACAGGCGTGCACCAAGGGTTGAAAAGGGCACCGCTGCGTGTGAATAACCTCCTGTATGGCCCAAAGGTCCAAGGCATGGGGCATTGTGGACGGAAGTCAAGGACGGTGGGACGGGCGGCGTGCTGACTTTTGAGTCAATAAAAAATAACCTCCTGTATGGCCCAGAGGTCTAAGACATTGGGCATGTCGAGGGAAGCCAAGGACGGTGGGACGGCACGGTAGACGTGCAGCGTGTGTTTCGCTGCTTGAGTGCGTCCCGCTCCACCATGCGTGCTTGCGAGGGATTTAAGGCGGACTGGTGTGGGCGGGATGCAATTGGATGGGGCGAAGGGCAGGTAGCAACGGCACGGCACGGCACGGCAGGGGCAGGGGCGGCAGTGGTCGGGCCCTTCAACTTGACAGGCCTCTCACAGCGCTGAGAGTGCGACAGGTGAGAGCAGAGGAAGGGGAGGAGGAGAGGAGGGCAGGAGGGGAAAGGAAACGTGGGTGGGTAGCGCGCCTCGCTCGAGTGCAACCCTCATCTCGCCCTCCTCTCTGCGTCACTGCGCTTGGCCAAAACCCTAAACCTTGAAATCCGAATCCTAAACCCTGCTGCACGCCGCTGCGCGCACCTTTTCGTCCCTGGTTCGGATCACGTCCGCGTCGCGGAACTTGAGTGTTCAGCTTGTCTTTGGCTGCCTACGTCCCGTCCTCCCATGCGTGCGTGCGTGGGATTAGAGTGGACTGGTCTGGGTGCGATGCAACGGAATGGCGCGCACCTTTTCGTCCCTGGTGCGGATGACATCGGCGTCGCGGAACTTGGCTGTGCGGCGCAGCAGGAAGCACCCCATTGCCTCGTCGCAGTGGAACGTGCCGTTGTGCGTCCCGATGCGTTTCCGCGGGGCTCCCGCTCCCGCCTGCTCGCCGTTCCCCGCGCTCACCGCCGCATCCGCCGCCGCGTCTCCTGCTGCTGCCATCTTGGCTCGCTTGCGCGACGCGCCTTCGTCGGCAGGAGGTGACGGCGGAGGGGCCGACGACGCCAGCACGGAAGTTCCGCGGAACCCGGCGGGGAATGCGGCGAGGAATCCGTTCGCTGAGTGGCGCGCAGGGGACCACGCAAGGGTTGCAAGGCGGTTTAAGGGGGTGCTGCTGACGTGGAAGTGGATTTGAGCGCGAGTGGCGGAGGCGAGAGAGAGGGACGCGACGCGCAGCAGCGGCGATGCGAGGACGCGCATGGGAACGACGTGGATGGCAGTGGTCGCACACCGCAGCTCGGCCGCTAACTCGAATTTACAAGAATCGGATGACTACAAACTTGAATATTTAAGGTCTGATTCCTGCACGGGGATGTAGCTCAGATGGTAGAGCGCTCGCTTAGCATGCGAGAGGTATGGGGATCGATACCCCACTTCTCCAGACAGCATTTTTCTCGAAGCACATCGAATCTCCTCAAGGCTGTCAGCCCGTCGCTCGCAGCACGAACGGCAGCTGTTGATTTTTTCCCGTCCGCGAGCTGGTGGCGTTTTCCCCGCCACCACCCGCACTAGGCGCCTCATCTCCGCCGTGGCCCTGCGTTTCCACTCGCTCCTTATTTCCGCCGTGCGGCTCCCGCTCCACCTCGTTTGCGCTGTCCGCGGTTATCCCCTCCTTGGCGTGCTCCCCGCAATGCCCGCATTCGCCTCACCGTAGGTGCGCGCTTCCTCCGCTATGCACCTTCCCGCGTCCCCCTGGCTGCGCGCACTCGCGGGGCTCTCCGCCGCGCTCGCGCTCGCCTGCCTCTACGCCGCTGTCTCCGCCCCCTCCGCCTCCCTCCTCTCCGCCTTCGTTTCCGCGGGCGGGGAAGGCGGGGGGAGTGAGCGCGAGGATGCGCGGAACGATGTGAGAGCGGATTTAGGCGAGCGAGATTTTGATGGCGCGGAGTTGGGAGAGGGGGAGATGGGGGAGGAGGGAGCGGGGCAGGCGGAGTTAGGGCGGGCGGACCTGTTTGCGCTGGCAGCAGAGACGGGGCGAGAGGGGGAGGGAGGGAGCGGAAGGGAGAGAGGGGGAGGCAAGGGCGAGGAGGATGCTACACTGTACCCGGCACTGGATGGCAGGTGGGCACTGGATGGCAGGTGGGGGGGCTCCGCCTCAGCATGAGAGGCAGGGTGGACTCTGCACTCTCCACATGGCATCACCCTCCGTTCTCCCCACCATTGCCCTGCCACTGCCTGCCACTGCCTGCCACTGCCTGCCACTGCCTGCCACTGCCTGCCACTGCCTGCCACTGCCTGCCACTGCCTGCCACTGCTCAATACTGGGCGCCGCCACTGTCCCCCTTCCCGAGCAGCACTGGCACGGGCAGCGCACAGCAGCAATGCAGCGCAGCGGCCCTCCCACTGCCCTCCCCCTCCCATCGCCCTCCATTCCCTCCGCCACTACCCTCCCACTGCCATGTCCTTACGTAGTTCCGCGTCCGCTTCCCCCTCACTGCATACCCATGATCCCACCTTCTCATCAGCGTCTTGCTAGCAGCATAAGGCAGTAGCATGGCGCGGGAGGTCCGCACTGAGTCAGTTCCGAGTCAGCTCCGAGTCAGCCGAGCATCAACAAATAGTCAAACTGAGTCCCATGGTGCATTTTGTTTCCTCCTCCATCTCCCCTGTCCCTTCAACCCCCCTCCCCCAGCACCTCCCACCACGGCAGAGCACCTCATTTCATTCTTCCCTTCCCCCCACCCCCGCTCCGCGCTCCCCTCCCCCCTGCCACTCCTCTCCCCTCTGCACAACCCCTGTGCACGGCCCCTGTTCCCCCAGCTCGCCTGTGGTGGCGCTGCTAGCAGCTCACAGGCGGCGCATGCGGCAGCGAGTGGAGGAGGCGAGGGCGCAGGCAGAGCAGGACGAGCAGCGCCTGCACGCTGCTGTCACGGCCGCCGTGCGGGTGAGTTGGAGGTGAGACGGGAGGAAATGGAGGGGTGTAGGTGGAGGGTGGAGAGAGAGGAGTGGGGACGGAGAAATTGAGGAGAAAAGGGTGTGTGTTGCGTCATCCGTGCTAAGCATGGGTAGCGGCGTGTGGTTATGCTTAGAAGAGGTGTCACAGCAACACCTGACTCCTGAGGGAGGTGAGCAAGTTGGAGAGAAGGCAGAAGCACATGGGTAACGCACATGGTTGTCCGTGTAGGAAGAGGGATGGAAACGATGAGCTCAACCCTGCTGGATGACTCAAAGGGTTGAGGCCGCTGAGGCGCCTCAAAGGCAACTCATTCTCATTCCCATCCACTCCTCCATCCCCAACCCCAACCCCTACGTCTGTCCACGGAGAGCAGCAGCTGCATGTGGGCCGCGCATCGCTGGGGGACAGCTCCCCCCTTCTGGATGAGGCGGCTGCTGAGGCGTCTCAAAGGCAAATCGTTCCCAATTCCATCCCATCCCCATCCCCACCTCCACCCCCACCCCCACCCCCAACCCCAACCCCGCGTCTGTTTACGGAGAGCAGCAGCTGCAGGTGGACCGCGCATCGCTGGGGGACAGCTTCCCCCTGCTGGACGAGGCGGCCGCTTCAACCATTGCCGCGCTGCCACCTGGCAGCGACAGCCTGGCGCAGATCCACGCCATGCTGGCCGCTGCGCCACGTGTCAACGTGGGAGAGGTGGACGTGGGGGAGGGGGAGGGTGGGAGTGTGGTGGAGGGAGAAAGCACAGGCGCAGCAACCGGGGGTGTATCTGAAAATGTGGGGAGGGCTGAGAAATGGGCGGTTGGGAATAGAGAAGTGGGGGAAGCAGAAGTGGAGGAGGCGGTGGGGGAAGCAGTGGGGGAGTGCATGGATCTGTATTTCGTGGCGGAGGGGCACCAGACGCGATTCCACATCGGTGCGTGGGGGGGAGCGGCGGTCGGTAGGGCACGTTGGCCAGGGGGGGACACAGAGCACAAGGGCTGGTGGGGAGAGGAATAGAGTTGAAGGGCCGGTGGGGACAGGGGTAGGGTGCAAGTGCTTTAATCACCATGCAAATGGTAAATAAAGAACAATATCATCCTCCTCATTACCCTCCCCGTCTCCTCCCTCGCTACCTCCCCCAACTTCTGGTGTCCAATGAGCGGCACAGAGGCATGAGCAGGCGGACAGGGAGGCGGAGCTGAGACTGCTGGGGCAGCTGAGAGCCCTGCACGACCAAACGAGTTCTCCTCCCCCTCCCTTACCTCTCTCCCTCTCCCCACTCACTACCTTCCCCAACCCCCTTCTGTGTGCCATGCCATGCAGCCACGCAGAAGCAGCAGCAGGCGGACAGGGAGGCGGAGCTGAGATAGTTCATGCTGGGGCAGCTGAGAGCACTGGACGACCACAGAGAGTTGCTGAAGCTCTCTTTCCCCTCCCCCTCCCCCTCCCCCTGTCGCTCTCCTTTTCCTGTCTCGCTGTCCTCCACAACCCCCCACATCAGCCACGCAGAAGCAGCAGCAGGCGGACAGGGAGGCGGAGCTGAGGCAGTTCATGCTGGGGCAGCTGAGAGCACTGGACGACCGGCGGGAGTGGTGGGTGGCGCTCAACCTCACGGGCGAGGAAGCTAGTGAAAAGCTCAAGACAATGCCCGATGGCGCAGGTACGTGTGACGCGCCAGGTGGAACGGAACGTGCACTTGTGTGAAGGTGCTGCATGGTTTGGTGATGCAGCGTATCCCTCACCTACCCTTCCCTGGACGCAAGTTCTGGTGCATGCGGGCTGGGTGCGTTGCGTTGGGAGAAGAATGTCGGCACGTATGAGGCGAGTGAGATGAGAACGGGGAGAGTGCAAGTGACAGCACTGGGCGTTGGGTTCAGCGAGTGCTTCTCCTGGGTCACAACATGGCTGCCGCTTTCCCTGGATCCTGCTGTCACACCCGAGTCTAGTCTCTCTTTCACCGGACACGACCCGCCCTTCCCCTCCCCAATTCATCCCTCCTCTTTGCCCTTTTATTCTCCCCTGGTACCTGCTCTTCCACACCCCCCTTAATCGTTTTTCTCTCCTGCCTTCCATCCCTCATCTCTCTCCCCATCCCCCGTGCCTCCCATTAGAGAAAACAAAGCTATCGGAGTTCCTCTTCTGCGACCTGCTCTTCCACACCTGCTTTGACTCCTCTGTTCCGCTCCTTCCTGCCACACTCTCTCCAACCCCGTTCCTCTGCCTCCCTCAGAGAAGACCAGGCTATCGGAGTTCCTTTTCTGGTATCTGCCCTTCCAACCCTCAACCCTCTCCCCATCCCCCGTGCCTCCCACCAGAGAAAACAAAGCTATCGGAGTTCCTTTTCTGGTATCTGCCCTTCCAGGCCTGGTTCGACTCCGAGGGGCCTGACCACCCCAAGGCCGTCGCTCACGTGGAGGAGCAGCGCGCTGTGCTGGCAGCCGCCACGTCAGCCGCCACGTCAGCAAAATCAACCCTGAAAGCCACTCAAGATCTTCTATGGGAGGAGTGCGGGCTGCGGCTGCCCCACAGCAACTGGACGGACGAGCAGAGCGCACTGCTGGAGCGATACGCTGCTGTGGCCAACGTGTCCGGATGCACCGAACAGTGCACCGACTGGGAGGCTATTTACCCCGAGTACGAAACCCAACCGGGGCTAGTCGCCCCGAAGCACGTGTGGCAGAAGCTCCCAGAACACTACCCCGACACCCGCCCCAACATCTCCTTCATTGTCACCTACAGCGGGCGAGCAGAGCGCGTGCTGGTGCTGGTATCCCGCCTGTACGCGTGCACACACGGCATGGCGGGGACTGGTTCCCTACCGGGCATTCGGGCAGAGATGCTGGTGAGTGTGATGCACCCCGATGAGACTCTCGAGGCGTGGATGCAGGCGCGGAACGACACTGCAGAGGGGATATTCGTGGTGCCCGTGCTGCCGAGGCTGGGAGCCGCACCGATGATGTTGAACGACCTGGCGAGGATGGCACGCGGGGAGGTGGTGCTGATGCTGCATGGGGACGCGCTGCCGCCCGCCTCGTGCCTCTGGCTGGATAGGATGCTGGCTGCGTTTGCCTCGTGGCCGCGCCTGGCAGTGGCAGGGTTTCGCACGGATGGCTTGGGAGAGGCTGGCAGCGCAGGGGAGGCAGTGGGGGGAGAGGAGGTGCCGCAGATGGCACCTGCTGCTGCCAGCTTGCGGTACTGGAGGGGGTTTGCAGAGGAGATGGCGGGGAGAGGGACAGCCAGTGGGGGAGGGAGTGGGGATGCAGAGAGACTGGAGGGAGGGGAGGGAGGGGAGGTGGGGTGGAGGGACCCCGAGACAGGGGTGGCGATGCACTTCACGGGGCTGGTAACCGCGTTCCCTCTGGTGGTGAGGCGCTCTGTGCTGGAGGACATGGGGTGGCTGGATGAAGCGGACTTGCGGCAAGGAGAGGCGGCTGTCATGAGCGACTGGCACCTGTGCTGCCGCACATGGCTCTCAGGTTACCAGGTGGGTGGTGGGCTGTTAGGTGGGTGGTGGGCTGTCAGGTGGGTGGTGATGCCAACATGCTTTAGCCATAAACCAGCAAGCTCAGTGCTCCCAGCCAGTTCCTTGCACGTTTCCCACGCTGCCTATCCCTTCCCCCCACACACTCTTCCCCACATACAGGTGGCGCGCCTGCAGCTGCATACAGGGGATGGCGACCATGGGGACTGGCTCACCGTGACGCGCGCACGGCACCGCCACGTGCTGCCAGGGCGGGGAGCCTTTGGTGGGGAAGAGCAGGGCGGTGCGGTGGAGTATGGGGAGTACGACGCAGCGATGGCCGGGTACCACGATGACATTGTCAAGGAGGTCGCTCGCTTGAATGGGCTGCTTGTTCGCAATAGTTAGCTTCGCCTAGTGATGGGGTATGACAGCTCTTCGTGCGGTGCGAGTGCAGTTTGCATTGACTACAACGCAATATTTTTTTTCAAGCCCAGCCATTTGCCAGTTCTTAGAGTGCAATCACAGGTCAATGTCCCTGCTATTATACATTTTGTTGGCACAAAATGGTACAACTTGGCTAATAAAGCATAAATCAAAGTAAATGTTTTACTGAGTTGATTATATACGGTAAGCTGATAAGAGGTTTCTCGTGTACCTACTCTCCGATACGTCGAAATTGCTGTGACCGAAACGAGTCGCACGAGCTGATAGGCGGACGCACAAAAATCTCGACTTGCAGTCAAGTCAGGAGGGATGTCATGCTGTATCCATCCACATGTGGCATGCCACATGGGTGCGGGATCGCCGTGTGCGACTTTTCAGTCTACTCAAAGGTCACATGCCTCATCATTTTCAAGATGGGATTGCTGTCTGTTGTCGTGTCGAAGCGAAACGAATATGGTCTGGCAGGACGGCGTGAGAGGTGTCTTTCAGCGATACTGCTAGCACCGCACCACATGCGCCGGCCATCCGACGCGCCATATCGGACGGTCACCCGCACGCGATGTACAACGCAGCATTAGGTGCTGTCGATGACCCTTCCTTAGTACTCGAAGGAGTGAACGGCGGCGAGACACGTTCATACGAACCGCTGCCTGACGACGGCGGCGGCGGTGGCGCGAAACGCTCTCCGCCTCACACGGATTCGAGCAGAGAAACTTCCTATATTAGTGTCGACGCAATCGATACCGCAAACAGCGCCGCGGCTTCGGACGCGCCGGCGGCGACACGCGGGCACGGCGCCAGCGGAGGTTCCGCCGGCGGCGCAGTGGAGGAGGCTCGCGGTGCGCGCGACGAGCAAGCGCAGACGGCGGAGGCGGGACGCGCTGTAGCGGACGGAATCCCGGCGGAAGGGATGGCGGGGGAGGGAGGGGCGGAGGGGAATGTTGGGATGCAGAGCGCCGCGCAAGGCACCCGCGGAAATGGCGAGGTGGCGGGGGAGGAAGCGGGAAGCGCTGGCGCTGATGGCGCGGCGGAAGGTGTGGGGAGGCTGGCCGCGGACGAGGGGGAGGCGACGGGGAGAGGGGAGGCGGAGGGAAGCGGAAAGGAGGAGAGGAAGGGCGAGAGCAGCGGCAAAGAGCAGAATGCAGGGGGGCAAGGTGGGAACGGGGAGGTGGAAGGAGCGGGGGAAAAGGCGGAGGGGGGCGAGGGGGTGGCGGGGCGGCAGCAGGGCGGCGGGCGGGGGAGGTTGCGCGAGCTGGTACGGCGCGCGGAGCAGCAGCGGCGCGTGGTGGGATACCTGGACGTGGGGCGCGAAGTGGCGCGCTCCGTGGAGCGCCACCAGCGCGCGCAGCAGGCCGCGGGCGCGCCTAGGGGTGAGGGGCAGGCAGGCGGGGGGAATGGTGCGGCGGGCATACTCTCCCCCCAGCATGGCCACGCGCCCCACCACGCCTTCACGGATTCCGCCCCCCTGCACGCGCCCCTGCACGCGCCCCCGCACGCGCCCCTGCACGCGCCCCTGCACCACCCCCTGCATGCCCCGCTTTCCCCACTACGCGCGGGCGGGCGGTTGCAGCAGCTACAGGCGGAGGAGTGGGGGGGCGGGGAGGGGGGCATGGGGCGCGACGTGAGCACGAACAGCAACATGGGCGCGGCGGAGTGGCTGGAGGGGTGTTTGGAGGAGGAGGAGGAGTGGCAGCAGTGGCGCATCGATCCCCAGCAGCTCGTCATCAAGAGCTTCCTTGCGCGCGGCACCTATGGCTCCGTGCACCGCGGGGAGTACAGAGGAAAACAGGTGGCCGGTAGGTGGTGAAGCGAGCAGGGGGAGGGGGGGTTGTGGGGAGGGGGGTAGGCGAGCAGGTGGTGAGCTTCCTTGCGCGCGGCACCTATGGCTCCGTGCACCGCAGGGAGTACTGCGGGAAACAGGTGGCAGGTGCGTTGAGTTGGAAGGTAGATGGTCGGTAGGTGGTGAGGCGGGCATGTGGCTGGTGAGGCGAGCAGGTGGTGAGCTTCCTTGCACCGCGGGGAGTACAGAGGGAAACAGGTGGCAGGTGCGTTGCAGGTAGAGGGGCGGTTGGTGGTGTGGTGAGCCTGCTGATGGGGGGTGAGGAGGCAAGCAGGTGCCCCCTCTCTCACGCATGCTCGTGTTGTTCGCAGGTTGGGTGCATGCTGCATGGTGCATGGTGTATGGTGCATGGTGTATGGTGCATGGTGTATGGTGCATGGTGTATGGTGCACAGCTGGTACGCAACCCGCATCTTCACAATCAACAGTGTTTGACCGTGTTTCTTCATGCATGTATGGATGTGAACATGCATGACCCCATGTATGTGTGCGCATGGTGGTGGCATGGCAAGGGCAGTGAAGCTGATGGACTGGGGCGAGGTGGACAAGGCATCGCGCGCCAAGCTCACCTTCCTGCGAGACGTGTTCGCCCAGGAGGTGCTCGTTTGGAGCACACTGCAGCACAAGAACATCTGCCAGGTCAGTACCATCGGCTACTAGCCATGCACCACCCATCCTACCGCCCACCCTGCGGCCCACCCTGCGGCCCACCCTGCGGCCCACCGCTACTGCCAACCGCTACCCCCACCGTGTATGCATGCGGTGCGGGGTGGCGCGTGTAGATCGTGGGGGCATTGCAGGGCGGACCAAAGCTCGTACACCAGCAATGGAGGGCCACCAGAGCGTGCTGCAATGCCGTGTAGATCGCGTACACCTCTCCCTCCACAGTGGAGGGCCACCAGAGCGTGCTGCGCATGGGCAGTCACGTGTGCTGCTCGCGTGTGCCGTGTTCAACACTGCCACCCACTGCTCCCACCGCTGCCACCCCCCACCCTTGCCCTCCCACCCCTGTCCCCTACCCCTGGCCCCCCACCACTGAGCCCCACCCATGAACCCCTTCGTGCAGTTCGTGGGGGCGTTACTGGGTGGGCCTGACTCATACACCTTCCCGTCGACGGTGGAGGACCATCGGGGCGTGCTGCGCGTGGGCAGCCACGTGTGCTGCTGCTTGTGCCGTGTTCAATGCTACCACCCACTCCTGGCCCCCACCCCTGCCCCCCCACCACTGGGCCCCACCAATGAACCCCACCGTGCAGTTCGTGGGGGCGTTACTGGGTGGGCCCGACACGTACACCTTCCCGTCGACGGTGGAGGACCACCGGGGCGTGCTGCGCGTGGGCAGCCACGTGTGCTGCGTGGTGCTGGAGTTCCTGGCAGGCGGCACACTGAAGCAGCTGCTCATGAAGCACTACCACAAGAAGCTGTCCGTGCACCGCGTCGTGCATTTAGCACTTGATATTGCTGAGGGGTGAGTGGCCATGGTGGGGGGTGAGTGAGGCACACTGAAGCACCTTGCTCACTCAGCTGCTCATGAAGCACTACCACAAGAAGCTTTCCGTGCACCGCGTCGTGCATTTAGCACTTGATATTGCTGAGGGGTGAGTGGCCATGGTGGGGGGTGAGTGAGGCACACTGAAGCACCCTGCTCACTCAGCTGCTCATGAAGCACTACCACAAGAAGCTGTCCGTGCACCGCGTCGTGCATTTAGTGCTGGATATTGCTGAGGGGTGAGTGGCGCATGGTGGATGTGATGGGAGCGTTGATTCTGATGCCATTCTGAGGCATGTTGTTGTTGCGATAGTGAGGTGGGCAAGTGCAAGACCTTTCCACTATTCGTACAGCGTGCAGCCTCTCGATTTCCTGGCGGGCGGCACGCTGAAGCAGCTGCTGATGAAGCACTTCCACAAGGGCTGTCCGTGCACCGCATCGTGCACCTTGCACTGGATATTGCTGAGGGGTGAGGGGTGAAGAGGGGTGAGGAGGGGTGACGGATGACGGGTGAGGGGCCAGGAGGTGTGAAAAGGGGTGAGGGGTGGGCCATCATACTTGGCAATTCCATGATGGGTGTTGACTGTGATGACATGGTAAGTTGTAAGCTGAATAGTTGCATGCACTCCTCCTTTCATTGCGCTGTTTGCCATCAGCCCCTGACAATCTCCACTGATGCCCTTACACCTCTTGCTCTCTCTCGCTGCAATCTCTGCCGGGCGGCACAGGTTGGAGTATCTGCATTCAAGGGGCATCGTGCATCGCGATGTGAAGTCGGATAACATGCTGCTGGACAAACACCACCGGTGGGTGGGAGGGGGCACTGGAAAGTGATATGAGGCTTGTGGGTGGCAGTTACCGGTGGGAGGGGGCGTAGGGATGTGAGCATGCGTGGCATGCATGTGAGGCATGTGCATCGCGATGTGAAGACAGACAACATGCTGCTGGACAAGCACCACCGGTGGGTGGGTGGGGACAGTCAACACTGGGATGTGATATGAGGCTTGTGGGTGGCAGTTACTGGTGGGTGGGGGCAATGGGATGTGAGTGTGCGTGGCATGCATGTGAGGCTCGTGCATTGCGATGTGAAGTCAGACAGCATGCTGCTGGACAAACACCACATGTTGGTCACGGCACTGGGATGGGATGTCACCATGCTTGCCCTGCATGTGAGGCATGTGCCAGTCTGCCAGTGTGTGTGGGTGCGTGGAGTGGAGTCAAACTGCGTCCATGAGTGCATCAGCCCCTCCATCTGATGCCTCGCCCCGTCTCACCCTGTGCCTTGCTGTCCATGCATCCCCGCCCTCGCCGCTGAACCACTGCCTTCTCCCCAGTGCACTGCATGCATGCGTGCATGTAGTTTCAAAAAGTCGACCTGCGCCCCGCGCGATGGGGGCCGCGGGTTTTGATGGACCCTAAACCGCAAATGTAGGACTTCCCGCAAGAAATAGAGAGTAGTACTACGGTGTGCAAGTGCAACGGGTCCCAGGTCTTATGAAAGGAGTGGTTTAAAACGATGGCCCATACAGGTCTCGAACCTGTGACCTTCGCGTTATTAGCACGACGCTCTAACCAGCTGAGCTAATAGGCCTGTGTGAGTGTGGGCATGGTGCACTTTTTTCTCATGAATGTGTGTGCATGCCGGCTTAAGTTCATGTGTTCATGTGTTCATGTGTTCATGTGTGCATGTGTTTATGTAATCATGTGTGCATGTATGCACGTGAGCGTGCGTGAGTGCATGTGTGCGTACGTGCGTGCGTGCACGACCACAGGGTGGTGAAGATTGCAGACTTTGGGGTATCACGGGTGAAGTCAGACAACGGCACCATGCACCACAAGACCGGCACCTACGGCTACATGGCTCCTGAGGTGCGCTCCTCTGCTCCGCTGCTCCCACACCCGTGCATGCTTGCCACCTGACCTGAGATGCAAGGCTTGTGATGCTGTGGCTGAAAACAGACGGTTGCAGAGCATAAAACTTGATGTGAAAATTGTGTGTGGACGGTCTGCATAATTGTGTGTGGACGGTCTGCATAATTGTGTGTGGACGGTCTGCATGATTGTGCTACTGCCCTCACTCCGAGAGCTGAAGCCATTGGTGGGATGCCTGCACCCCTGCATGCTCAACTCCTCCCTCCTATTTGTGTCGACTACATGCCTCTCCCCTTCTCAACCCTCTTGTTTATGTCTCCTGCTGCGCCTCCCTGCTGCGCCTCTCTGCTGCGCCTCCCTGCTGCGCCTCCCTGCTGCCCGCCCCCTTGCGGCACCAGGTGCTGAAGGAGCGGCCGTACGACCACAAGGCGGATGTGTACAGCTGTGGAATCCTGCTGTGGGAGATGGCCACGTGTGGTAACCATGTATTTCCCTTCCCAATGCTCCTAACCCCAACCGCAGGTATTAAAGGAGCGGCCGTACGACCACAAGGCGGACGTGTACAGCTACGGAATCCTGCTGTGGGAGATGGCCACGTGTGGTAACCATGTCCCCTCTATGCTCCTACCCCCCCTTGCTGCACCGGGTGTGCCCACCAGGTATTAAAGGAGCGGCCGTACGACCACAAGGCGGATGTGTACAGCTACGGCATCCTGCTGTGGGAGATCTACTGCTGCGACAACCCCTTCCCCTACCATGACCTTGACTCCAACGAGATTGCTTCCACTGTCAACCAGGTGCCTCCACCCGTCACTGCACCCATCAATGCACCCATCACAAGACATTTCACCACAGGATCCTGCATACGGAGATGCGCTTGACATAGAAAACGCTCTTAGCAATGCCCAACTTTGCTGATTGGATTCAACATGCTTCATCCTTCACCACCGTGCCCCTGCTTCATCGCTTGCCCCTTCTACCCAAGAGCATCCTGTGTTTCCCCTTCATTGGTATTCTCATTCTCTCACACACTCCACCGTGCCTCCCTCTCTCCACAAATCACCCATGTGTCACCTCACCTGTCCCACATGCCAGGGCCTGCGACCGGACATCCCATCATGCTGCCCGCCACAGCTGGCGGAGCTGATGAGGCGCTGCTGGCATCAGGACGCAGGCAAGCGGCCAGACATGAGCGAGGTGGTGAGGCGCCTCAAGGCCATTGACTGCCGTCATGCCACGCCCATGCGCCCCGTGGAGGGCGATGACTCCTCCTGCTCCCTCATGTGATGTCACTACTTCAGAGACGTCTCAAGAGGATATGAGTGAGGTGGTGAGGCGCCTCAAGGGGAAAGACTGCCGCCATGCCACGCCCATGCGCATCGTGGAGGGTGATGAGTCCTCCTGCTCTCTCATGTGATGTCACTCACAGCCGCAAAGCCTTGCATTGGAAGCCGCTAATGATGGGTGAGATGGCGAGACAGCCCTTTCCACCGCACTGAATCGCCTCCGAAGCCAATGCAACCTGTGCAGGATGAGCCGGGTCGGGTCTTCTCAGGTGAACTATGGGTAAAATTTTATTTTCTGGAAAGAATGATGGGTATTCCGTACGTCCCTGTACAGAAGCGCCCTGTAGAACCGTAGTTAAACACTTTCTGGTGGCTTCAGGGAAAGGGGTGCCAATCTGAACAGCCCCCTCCTGATTTACGTGCCACCATTATTTCCGCCCCATGGGGTATAGACTAGGCACCATTCGGTTAAACAGCTGCACAAGGACGTCCTAGATATACTGTCACGTTCATCGCCTTTTTGTATGGTGAATATTGCCTAGTATGGTTGTTTTGTATATAGGTGCTTTCTTATACCATTCGAGGTTTTCACTGTAAGCAAGGCACCCGTCCACCGTAATTTCCCGAACATGTGAACATGTCGTCAGGGGAGCAAAGAAAAGAATACCCGCGCGACAGAGAAAGCAAAGAAGTCGATGTGCGTTTAGAAGCCAAGCATCGAGTCTTAGTGAATGCCTTGCTCGTACGAGTGGAAACGCACGCGAGGAATGCGAATGTGCAGCGCGGAGAATAATTAATGCGGAATAAATTAGTCCTACAGTAAATAACGACATTGTACGTCGACCTCGCGTTTCCTTCCCCCGTCATTGCACACCCCTTCACCGCTGCCCCTGCTTCTCAACCATCGCCCGCGCCGTCCGACCTAGCTACAACTTCGCTTCAATTTCGCGTCGCCCTCACTTCCGCATCCCGTCGCCCATACTACCCCTTTCCGTCGCCCTCGTTTCCCGTTTCTTTCGCCCTCACTTCCCGTTCACCAATGGCCCTAAACCATGAACATGAATTGTCATGAGTACACCTTCAGATTCAGTCAAGGTTGACGTGCCGAATTATGTCAGATTCACGGAAAAGCCAGCAGTGAACGAAGTTGGACACGCCCTAATTGCGTTACGTCACTCGTGGCTCCTGGCACCATAGCACGCTGAGCTGCGCACTCGCTGCGAGCACATCAGGCCCACGGCCATCACCCAGCGCTCCGCTCATTTTGAGACGACTCAAAACACTCTCGCTGCGAGCACATCAGGCCCACTGCCATCACCCAGCGCTCCGCTCATCACGGACCAGCGAGGTCCACGTCGCGACACTCGTAACATTCTCAATCACACCATCCTTCGTTCCTCTCAGCTGCCCCGCATACGTACCTGCCCCTTTCCGCAACCTTTCTCCTTGCTACCGTCGTGGCTCGCCGTAATGGCCCGCTGGGGCCCCCACTCCGTGCTGCTCTTAGTGCTCGCAGCCGTTGCGCTCCTCGCCTTCCTTTCCGCCCTCCGCACGCGCCTCGACCACTCCCCCCTTCCACATGCACCCTCCAGCGCCCCTTCTCCCGAACGCCACAGCCGCCATTCCAGCTACCGGCGGCGGCTGGAGACTCGGCGGGGCAATCCGGGGCGGAAGACGGTGCGGCTGCACGCGGCGACGGCGGAGGCGAACCCGCGGCTGGCGCACATCACGTTCGACCCGCTCGTGGCGGAGATGGAGGCGCAGCAAGACGACCGCGCGTGGGAGCAGGCGCAGCTCCGCCGGCGCGGGGAGGAGGTCCGCGTGGCGCACGGGGGCAAGACGCGCGGAGAGGGTGACGCGGGTGGCGAGCAGAGAGGGGGGGGAGAGGAATCGAGGATTGAAGCGGCGGACGAGGAGTTGAGGCGACTGGAGGAGAACCCCAACCCAGGTGGGCACGTGTACAGGACAGGCCGCACACGAGCACAGTGAGGCAGGGCGTGTGGCTGGTGCGGTGACATGCATAAGTGCACGCGGTGCAGAGCGGTGGCACAGTTTCAAAGTTTCAATGTGCGCTGTGTGTGGACATGCGTGTTGTGAGACGCCATGAGAACATGTGCCATCCTGGTGTAACCTTCATCTTGTCTCTGCTTCTCCTGTGTCTATGCCCATGTGCTTGCCCGTGCCTTGCGGGGTGTGTGTGTGTGTGCGTGCATGGAGGAGCAGAGGCGGGCGAGCACAAGGTGAATGTGACGAACCGGCTGAGAGCGCTCTTCCCGCTCATTGATAGTGACGACAGGGACGGTCTCGTGTCCCTCAGTGAACTCGCCATGTGGCAGGTACGCCATGTGGCAGGTACGCCATGTGGCAGGTACGCCATGTGGCAGGTACGCCATGTGGCAGGTACGCCATGTGGCAGGTACGCCATGTGGCAGGTACGCCATGTGGCAGGTACGCCATGTGGCAGGTACGCCATGTGGCAGGTACGCCATGTGGCAGGTACGCCATGTGGCAGGTACGCCATGTGGCAGGTACGCCATGTGGCAGGTACGCCATGTGGCAGGTACGCCATGTGGCAGGTACGCCATGTGGCAGGTACGCCATGTGGCAGGTACGCCATGTGGCAGGTACGCCATGTGGCAGGTACGCCATGTGGCAGGTACGCCATGTGGCAGGTACGCCATGTGGCAGGTACGCCATGTGGCAGGTACGCCATGTGGCAGGTACGCCATGTGGCAGGTACGCCATGTGGCAGGTACGCCATGTGGCAGGTACGCCATGTGGCAGGTACGCCATGTGGCAGGTACGCCATGTGGCAGGTACGCCATGTGGCAGGTACGCCATGTGGCAGGTACGCCATGTGGCAGGTACGCCATGTGGCAGGTACGCCATGTGGCAGGTACGCCATGTGGCAGGTACGCCATGTGGCAGGTACGCCATGTGGCAGGTACGCCATGTGGCAGGTACGCCATGTGGCAGGTACGCCATGTGGCAGGTACGCCTCTTGCGTGGCAGGTATGCTCCTCGCCATTTGGCAGGCATGTCATCATGCGCTGCACTCGCATCTGTGCCATGCTGGCCGCCTTGTTGTGATGTGTTGACATGCCCTGTGGGGCTACATCATCCTCGCCTCGCCTCTTGCTCTTCACCTCCCAATGGCCCTTCCCTTCCCTTCCCTTCCCTTCCCTTCCCTTCCCTTCCCTTCCCTTCCCTTCCCTTCCCTTCCCTTCCCTTCCCTTCCCTTCCCTTCCCTTCCCTTCCCTTCCCTTCCCTTCCCTTCCCTTCCCTTCCCTTCCTCGCCGTGCACCCCTCCATGTCCCTCCCTGCATCCGTATTGTCTCCCCCCACACCTCTCCTGCCCACCTGACTCCCCTCTGTCTTGTGCCTCCCCCACCCCCACCCCCTCCCGTGGGAGCTTGCCCGCAGGTGCAGCAGGGGCAGCGGAGCAGTGAGCGGCGCACGCGGAGGGAGATGCAGATGACGGACAGCGATGGGGACGGCCGGGTGTCGCTAAAGGAGTACCTGCACAACGTCACACCGGGGGACGAAGGTGGGTGCCGGGAGGAAGGTGGGGGACACTGGGAGTGAGGGGGCTAAAACGTGTGTTTTGGGTCGACTCAAAACACAGGTGACGGACAGCGATGGGGGCGGCAGGGTGTCACTCAAAGAGTACTTGAACGACCTCACGCCAGGGGACGAAGGTGGGTTTGAGTCGATTCAACAGTCAACTAGGACAGCTATGGGGACGGCAGGATGTGGTTTAAAGAGTATCTGCATGACGACACGCTGGGGGAAGAAGGTGGGCATTGGGAGGGGGGGGGCTAAGACGTGTGTTTTGGGTCGACTCAAACCACGGGTGGCGGACAGCGATGGGAATGGTACGGTGTCGCTCACAGAGTACCTGCATGATGACACACCGGAGGAGGAAGGTGGCACTGGTAGGGGGCTCTGTTGGTGTTGCTTTTGGGAATTCTCTCAAGTAACACTAGCAGCGATGGGGACGGTGGGCATTGGGAGGGAGGGGGTTAGATTTACTTTTGAGTCGGCTGAAGAGACAACTCGGGCAGCGATGGGGACGGCCGGGTGTCACTCGAGAAGTACTACCGGCACGATGACTCACCGGGGGACGAAGGTGGGCACCGAGAGGGGGCTAATATGCTACCAGGGCTTCATGCAGGATGAGGTGAGGTGAGGTGAGGTGAGGTGAGGTGAGGTGAGGTGAGGTGAGGTGAGGTGAGGTGAGGTGAGGTGAGGAGGATCCTGACGTGTGGAAGAAACGGGTGAGGCATGTGTGTTTGAGAACTCGATTGAGATGCTTCATTCCATGCAACAGCTTACTTGCTCCTGCACCCTATCAGCACCTTTCATGAATCCACTTGCTCCTCCCTGAAGCCAAATCCCAAAACCTCGGAACCTTAAAACTTGGTGGTGGGTGCATGGTGCGTGTGTGTAGCATGGTGCGTGTGCGTAGCATGGTGCGTGTGTGTAGCATGGTGCGTGTGTGTAGCATGGTGCGTGTGTGGCATGGTGCATGTGTGGCATGGTGCATGTATGGCATGGTGCATGTATGGCATGGTGCATGTATGGCATGGTGCATGTTTGGCATGGTGCATGTATGGCATGGTGCATGTATGGCATGGTGCATGTATGGCATGGTGCATGTTTGGCATGGTGCATGTATGGCGTGGTGCATGTATGGCATGGTGCATGTATGGCATGGTGCATGTTTGGCATGGTGCATGTTTGGCATGGTGCATGTTTGGCATGGTGCATGTATGGCATGGTGCATGTATGGCATGGTGCATGTATGGCAGTGCACGTGGAGGGCGACGATGACATGGCTGAGTTTGTGAAGATGACCAGGGAGCGCTTTGCACTGGCGGACGCGGATGGTGATGGGCTGCTCAACGAGGAGGAGTTCAACGAGTGAGATGTCATGCGCCCGCATGCCGCCCTCCTGCCATGTGCTCGCCATGCCTTGCTGTGCATTCATCTGTCGCTGTGTGCGTGCCATATAACATATGTCATCATGTGCTCGCTGCATATGTGTCTGCCCTTTCTATCCTCACTGACAAAATGAGCTCACTTCCCCACCCCCACTGCTCTCCCCACTCCCCTCCCATGTGCGTGTGGCAGTCTGCTGCACCCAGAGGACAGTCAAAACGAGAAGCTTATAGACTCCGTCCGAGATGAGGAGCTCAGGTCAGCCATGCCATGCCTGCCGTGCCATGCCTCTCGTGCCATACCTACCATGCCATGCCATACCTACCATGCCATACCCGTGCCATACCTACCATGCCATACCTACCATGCCATACCTACCATGCCATACCTACCATGCCATACCTACCATGCCATACCTACCATGCCATGCCTACCATGCCATACCTACCATGCCATGCCTACCATGTCATGCTTGGCGTGCCATGCCTATCGTGCCATGCCTGCTGTTCTGTGCCGTGCGTCCGTGCCGTGCATGACATGCCATGCCATGCCATGCCATGCCATGGCATGCTGTGTTGTGCCATGCCATCATGCCATGCTGTGTTTCCATGCAATGCTGTGCCATGTGATCCATGCCATCCATGCCATCCATGCCATCCATGCCATCCATGCCATCCATGCCATCCATGCCATCCATGCCACACATGCCCTATTTTCTCTTGGTCTCCCAGAGCATCTTGCTAGGCGTGAGCCTGGTGGAAAGCAAGCAGTGTTTCTGTTCTGCAAGATCCCACTTATGCCTGTGCCCACCGTGCTGCAGGGCACGGGACACAGACGGGGACATGCGGCTGTCGTTTGAGGAGTTTCTGGAGAGCGTGTATGATGAGGTGGCGCAGTTTGATGAGGAGTACGTGCGCTGGGAGGCGCACCGCTATGACGTCGCCAGCGAGGACTACGTGCCGCCCGACTTGGCACGTGGAAGCAAGGCCATGGAGCATATGAGCGCTGCGGAGAAGCGGGCTCATGCACGCACGCGGTTCGATCAAACGGATGCGAATCATGATGGGTGCGTGACGCACTGGCATGTGGGCGTGTTGTGCTGGACGAACATGCTGGATAGAGTGCGATGCCAGCCTGGTGCATTGCTTCTTCAATCATCCGTGTCTTGCTCTCTCACACGAGTGTGTTGACGGCTGCTTGGTGTGCTGGGGAGTGGTTCAGCATTGCAACATGCCAATCCTGAAAAAACTAACCACTTTTCTAAAAAATTGCACTTGTTGGCCCACACGCTTGCACGGGTTGGTGGGCAATGGGCATGCACCAGGTACCTGGATGCGAGTGAGTTTGAGGTTCGAACTGCTTGTCAACTTCTTATGTTCGAACTGCTTGTCAACTTCTTATGTTCGAACTGCTTGTCAACTTCTTATGTTCGAACTGCTTGTCAACTTCTTATGTTCGAACTGCTTGTCAACTTCTTATGTTCGAACTGCTTGTCAACTTCTTATGTTCGAACTGCTTGTCAACTTCTTATGTTCGAACTGCTTGTCAACTTCTTATGTTCGAACTGCTTGTCAACTTCTTATGTTCGAACTGCTTGTCAACTTCTTATGTTCGAACTGCTTGTCAACTTCTTATGTTCGAACTGCTTGTCAACTTCTTATGTTCGAACTGCTTGTCAACTTCTTATGTTCGAACTGCTTGTCAACTTCTTATGTTCGAACTGCTTGTCAACTTCTTATGTTCGAACTGCTTGTCAACTTCTTATGTTCGAACTGCTTGTGATACACGCACCAGGTACCTGGATGCGAGCGAGTTTGAGGACCTGCTGTACGCCATCGTGCCCAACGAGTACCACTTTGCGGAGGAGCAAGCCAAGCACATGATGATGGAGGTGAGCACATGATGATGGAGGTGAGCACATGATGATGGAGGTGAGCACATGATGATGGAGGTGAGCACATGATGATGGAGGTGAGCACATGATGATGGAGGTGAGCACATGATGATGGAGGTGAGCACATGATGATGGAGGTGAGCACATGATGATGGAGGTGAGCACATGATGATGGAGGTGAGCACATGATGATGGAGGTGAGCACATGATGATGGAGGTGAGCACATGATGATGGAGGTGAGCACATGATGATGGAGGTGAGCACATGATGATGGAGGTGAGCACATGATGATGGAGGTGAGCACATGATGATGGAGGTGAGCACATGATGATGGAGGTGAGCACATGATGATGGAGGTGAGCACATGATGATGGAGGTGAGCACATGATGATGGAGGTGAGCACATGATGATGGAGGTGAGCACATGATGATGGAGGTGAGCACATGATGATGGAGGTGAGCACATGATGATGGAGGTGAGCACATGATGATGGAGGTGAGCACATGATGATGGAGGTGAGCACATGATGATGGAGTTGAGAACATGTAGGCGCCACATGACATGTCTCTCCTTGGTCATTGCAGGCATGCTGTGGTGCCTAACTTGTATAACGTGGTGGTGGTGAATGTGGCATGTGATGGCAGGCGGATGACAACAAGGATAAACGATTGTCTTTGGAGGAGATGTTGGCGCACTGGGATGTGTTCTATGATGCCATGGATGAGGACGGGGATGACTCTTATCACTGGCCATCAGACGATGACCATGATGAGTTAAGATGACCTAATTTGACTTCATGCACTCCGCATTAAATTCATTACATGTCGTATTTATTGCTTGCTTTTAGTTTCAAAGATTCCCATCGTCAGAGTTCCAAACAGCGGTTCTAACATAAGTCGACAAGCGGTTCGAACCTCAACAATCTCGATAGCCAACTACAGAATAGACCTGGAACCGCAATTAAAACCTGAATAGATAAGCAAGTAGGGGTAGCACGACCTTATATGGTATTATTTTACTTGAAGGTACTGGTATAAATCTCCATCTACACCTCCCTATCGAACTCCCTTTATCTCATGTATCACAAAGGGGAGCTGGTCGTACATGTTCGCAGACGTACTTCGCAAAGCAACAAGGGCAAGACAAAATCTGCACACGTCTCGCTTTTGCTCTCCCGCCTCTTGCGCCGCCGACACTTTCACACGACCAGCACCAATGCACGAACCCGCAAGCGTGTGAAATGCAGCCCAAAACTACAATGGAAGATTTTTTTGGGCACTACATGGATTGAATCCCACACCCCCTGGTTCGTTCGGGACATTCACATCGTTCACTGATGTTTAAGATGTCGCCATTTTAGTGTGAAAGTCGAATTTAGTCCAGAGACCTCTTCACTCTTCTCCACACAACAGCTTTCCTTATATGTCCACCTGCCCGTAAACAACCCCATTATTTCGTGGAAGCACTGAAATTCTAGTAGCCACCACACGACATTCTCGTGCCGCTTGTTGCCAAAAGTGCACTATTCAGCTCCCGAGCAAAATGCGAGTTCCGTGATGTTCAGGCGAACCTCAATGCCAAATCCAAGGTGGTCACGTGCGGTTATGAAGTTACATTTCTCTTGGCGAAGCCCGAGCCACGTATACCGAACCTCCCAACAAATTGGTCTGGTGTGGGCCTAACCCGCCGACCAGAGGCAAACTGCCTCCCAAATGGTCGGCGCTTTGGGATTGGTCACGTTCAAATTGAGACAAACATTTTGCCATCAAATTGTGTCGTAATACTTGGAGGGATCGCTGGAACATAATCCACAATGGCTTTTAGCGCGGATATAGAATAACCTGGCAGAACAGGTCACTTCCTCCCTCAGATGTCTTCCAACGCCATGCACTGCACAGGTAAACACTTGGCGTGGCTGCAGAGGTGGGATTCAATTCAGATTCCCCTAATTAGACAGTTCTGTACTACAGAAAAGCTCTTTCTTTATTGTCTTTCAACTGCAGCACAGCTGGACCCATTCCCCGCCGGTGCACAAATCACCAACCCAAGGACCTGTCAACGACTCGTTTCAGACTCCATTCCGATGCATTCAGATCAGTTCTGTTCCGTTCCGTTCAGTTGAGCGGTTGGGACCTGCGTTTTGACAGATCTTCCTAGTCGACTAGTAGTAGAGAAGCACAGGGCCCACCACAAATATGATAAATATGATCCCCAGGGGCCCTGTCCCAGTGTTCAACAGCAGGTCTTTCAGGCCTCAGTAGCGGATGGCAGGCTGCTGCCGTGTGGTGGCACGATGCGAGAGCAGCATTCCCAAATGACCTCACCCAGTGATCATCCGGGGCATTCAGTTCAACAGCAGGCCTTCCGTGCCTCACTGATGGACGGCAGGCTGCCGCAGTGTGGTGACACGATGCCGCTGCAGCTCCAGCCGTCGCTGACAATTAACCCACGTGCTGCAGGTCTTCAGGATCCGATCCAAATGATGAGTCAGCATGCAGTGCCACTGGAAGATGAACGTGATGATAACGAGGATGATGATGGTATCGATGTTAATGATGATGATGATGATGATGATGATGATGATGATGATGATGATGATGATGATGGTGATGGGACCAATCGACGAGGTGCCGATCCCCGAGTGAATGCTGGTAACTTGGCTCACGTTACTACTGGAAGAACAGCTCTACCATCTTCCATGGCTTCTGGGGCGCCTCCAAAGTCATATGACGTCGTCGGGCTCATCGAAGATCTGCTCCGAACCCAGGCTGGTTCGGGTTCCGAACCACCCTTTCCCAAGGCTGCAGAAGCTGCAGCAGCCAGGTCTGTAGTCCGTGCTGATGCTGCAGGTGGTGGCGCCAGTCAAGGGGTTGCGGCAGCAGGATCCCTTGTATCCCCTGCTACAGCTGGCCTGCCACGCGCTGCTGCTACAATGGCAGAGGGAGGGAAGCAAGGGCAAGGGCCCCTATCTGGCACAAGTGGAGCATATCTAGGCAGAAAGGACAACACTGGTACTGCTGCTCCTATGGCTGCTACTGCTTCAGTTGCTGCTGCTACTGCTACTGCTGCTGCCACAGCTGCCACCGTTACTGCTGCTGCCACAGCTGCTACTGCTACTGATGCTGCCACAGCTGCTACCGCTACTGCTGCTGCCACAGCTGCTACTGCTGCTGCTGCTGCTGCTACTGCTGCTACTGCTGCTGCTACTACTACTCCTTCAGCTGCTGCCGCTGCTGCTGCCATAGCTGCTACTGCTACTGTTGCTGCTACAGCTGCTGCTTCTGTTTTTTCTACTCACACCAGGACACCAAGCAACGTGCCAAGCACCACCTCCCCCACAGGCACGCATGAAGCCCTCCCGAGCCAGTATTCAACCCTTCTCTCCTTGCTTACCGCTCTGCAGGCCAGAGTATCCGCGTTACAAGCACTCGTTCAGATCCTTTCACAGGTACTACTAGGCTACTCGGGTTCCCCCCTTGCCGGGCCTTGCCCCAATTTCTCGTTCCCCATTTCCCCTTCCTCTTGCTCGGAGTTGTACTGATGACTCATCCTGCTGCTGATCACAAGCTGCTATCGATCCACAGTTATAAATATCTTGCTGACGTTGCACCACGGGATCCAGCACACACTTTACTGACATGGCACTTATAGGTTCCAGCCCCATTGTTGCTGATCACAGTTGCGAATACTCTGACATTCAGCTGGCAGTAAGCGCAGGGTCACCATGACTTTCTATCTCGCTCTCAATACCTTGTTTTCAAGTCCATCTTTCCCATTCGCAGCTTTCATCACCTTTTTTTCAGCATCTGTTGCTACCATCATCGAATACTGCTGCCGTTTTCACCACTCCGCATGCATTCGCCGACCTTGTTTCAGCACTCTGTCTCTTGGCGCTCCTGTTTTCCCACCCTGATTCAGCAGCAGCAGCAGGATGGAATGGAGAAGGAGAAGGACCAGCACGAACAAGTGGAGTCGGAGGCGGAGGAGGAAGAGGAGGAGGAGGAGGAGGAGGAGGAGGAGGAGGAGGAGGAGGAGGAGGAGGAGGAGGAGGAGGAGGAGGAGGAGGAGGAGGAGGAGGAGGAGGAGGAGGAGGAGGAGGGGGAAGCAGAAGAGGATAAGGAAGAACAGGAGGAGGCAGAAAACAAGGAGGAGGCAGTGGAACAGCCACAGCAGCAGCAGCTGCAGCAGCCTCAACAAGAGAAGGAGCAGCAGCAGCAGCAAGAGCAGGAACAGCAAGGGCAGGAGCTGGAGCAAGGGGAAGATGACGAGGAGCAGGATAAAGAGGAGGACGACAAACAGGATCAGGAGAAGCAGGCGCAGGAGAAGCAGAGGAAGCAGCAGCGAGACGCGGTAGCATTGGGAATAGTTGGCATGATCAAGAACCTCGCTGTAGCTGCTGCGAGCCTGCTGCCCGCCCACCGACAACGCAGCGCACTCATTCCGCTGCTCCCGCTACTGCCGAACCTGCAAGGCGACGGAGAAGAGGACGGCAGAGGCAAAGAGGAAGGGGAGGGAGAAGAGGAAGAGGAAGTAGAAAAGGAAGAAAAAGGTGAAGTGGAAGGGGAAGGAGAAGAGGAAGGCAAAGCCAAAGAGGAAGGGGAAGTAGAAGAGAAAGGCAAAGGCGAAGACGAAGGGGAAGGAGAAGAGGAAGGCGAAAGAGAAAATGAAGGCGAAGGGGAAGAGGAAGAGGAAGAGGAAGAGGAAGAGGAAGAGGAAGAGGAAGAGGAAGAGGAAGAGGAGGAGGAAGAGGAAGAGGCAGAGGAGAGAGACGAGGAAGAGGAAGATGATGCAAAGGAGGAGCAAGATAGGTTGCAGGAGAGGGAAGAATTGCAAGGGGGAGCACGAAGAGCCAAAGAGGTGCAACCATGGCCACTGTTCTCAAGAACAGGCCATTCGAGAGCCAAGGAGCGACTCAATGCTCCCCAGACAAGCCTTCACAGTGGCGAGTCTGCTGATGTGGGAAGCTTGGCAGAGGAAACCGGGCAGAAGCGCAAGCAGCGTGATGTG